AAATACTATGGAAGTCAATGGCAACCACCAACTGTTTGATTACCAGCAATCTTCAAAATATCTTCTTTTGTGTTCAACATAAGAAAGCAACTCATACAGGTTTGGAATGACATGAGGGTGAGTAAATGATGACAGAATTTTCATTTTTGGGTGAACTATCCCTTTAATTATGAGGAATTTCACAATTGTAATAATTGAATACTTGCATGCATGCAGTCATTGTGGCGATTCTGAACAAGTGCTTGTTAATGGTGGAATTGAATTAAGACTGAATCCTTTGTGGTTACAGGAGCAAGCAGTGCCTCTCCTGTAGTGTGGATGAGGGAGTCATGGCAGACCACACCTCCCCACTGGAGTCCGGCCAGTTGCTCAGCCCAGACATCCCAATGCTCACCTCCCCGCCTCCACCGCCGCACCCGCCCAACATCGTCAACGGAGATGGACCACAACAGGTAGGATAAATCGGCATCGTTTCTTCGTGCTCACTTGTGTGTTTAAGCTATGTTCCGCAGAAAAAGCAATTTTCTACCCAGCAGACTGCTGAAGTTCTGCTGAAATAATTTCTCATGGCAAACTCCCTTATATGGTTCTGTTGAACCCAGGAGAGCAAGCTGAGTCGGGTCTGTCTGTTGATAATAATGATAACATATGAGAGAGTGTATATCAAAATTAATATATTTTAGATTTTGTAGTAAAACATTTAAAAATGAATAAAATGGCATGCTGGTACTTTGTGCCCTGATAATTATGGAGCTGTGACACTTCCACAACTCACTTACTTTTAACTCAAAAGTAAAAAAATAACTTTTCAACTTTATTTGCCGTATTTGCTGCTGAGCTCAGAAACACTTTCTCTAGGGATGTCCAGTCAATCACTTCCAATGTCTTGATCGTGATCACATTTTGATGGCAAAAAAAATCATGAAAGTACTCTTAAGACTACAGAGTTACTTTTGCAGTAGCTTCAAGAGTCAAGAAACAAATTTATTATCCAAATGCATTTAATTCAAAATAAATGGAGCATAGAGCAGTATCGGCAAAAACAGATTTGGCAGTTCAGAAAGACTTGTGAGAGGCATGACAAATAATGAAAATGTTATTTTTGGTGTCCACAGCATTTTAGTCTCCAGCGGATGGGAGTAAAATAATAATAAAGCAGATTACAAGGTGGAGTATAATTAAAAAAGAGATTTATTAAACAACTCCCGACCAAACAGCATAGCACCAGTTTAATACACACTTGCTTTTTCTACACTCTTTTCAAGTCTCCTGTCATTATCTTCTGCTGTTACCTAATATCACATGTGTCCCTCTCATTATCTCCTATTATTTCCTAAAATTATCAGCTAATAAGTAATATTACCAGCATCCAACAAAATAAAAAGACAAGGAATATAATTTAAATAAGATATTTAAATATGCAGTATTTAGTTTTTATGATAAATTCATGAATAAAATAGTGCTGGGCAATGATTAATCGTGATTAATCGCATCCAAAATAAAAAATTTAGTTTATATAATATATGGTGTGTACTGTGTGTATTTATTATGTATATATAAAGACACACACACATACAGTATATATTTAGAAAATATTTACATGTATTTACATGTTTATATATTTATATTCATATAATCTATATTATATAAATATATTTAATATATAAACATAATATATTTTTTTTTATTGGTCTTATGGAGTATTCTAATTTGTTGAGATAGTGAGTTGGTGGGTTTTTGTTAAATGTGAGCCAAAATCATCACAATTAAAAGAAAGAAAGACTTAAACTACTTCAGTCTGTGTGCATTGAATTTATTTAATACGTGAGTTTCACAATTTGAGTTGAATTACTGAAATAAATGAACTTTTCCACGACATTCTAATTTATTGAGATGCACCTGTATGTATTTATTTTTTTTTTTTTACATATATTTTTAAATATATACATGCATGTGTGTATATTTATATATACATAATAACCTATATACACAGTACACACACATATGTTATGTACAAAAAAACTTATTTTGGACACGATTTATCATTGCCCAGGACTAGAATAAAATTATAAATGCTACTACTACTACTACTACTAATAATAATAATAACAAAAATGGCAAAAGAATAAATACACAAAACTATGACACCATATGGTCAGAGAACTGCAGAGGATTTAATGAAAAGCTAAAAATTAAATCCTAAAAATGAATCACCATTGGTGTAATGGCCTAAAAACCATAAAAATTTTAATAAATAAATAAATAGGACTGCAAAATTGAAGTTGTATCTACGTCACGGATGGTGTGTGAAACAAGAGGGCAATAGAAAATGCATTTAAGATAATTGTGTTGTTCATGACGGTGCTTATTTTCTTTAAAAAAATACATTTTATCTTCAATATGCATTGTTTGGCCTTTTTTTCGGTCGCTGCACTGCAATTGTTCTTGTGATATTAGTATGCTTAAAGTGTTACTATACCGTCATCGTACATGAGGAGTGGCGGCATCAGCTCTTGTGGGTCTGGCCAGTCCTTACGTCACTGACCCTGACCCAGCACAGAGACGTGTGATAGTGGGAGTAAAGGCCATGGAGAGGAGCTGTCCATCCGTCGCTGCTCCCTAAGGCTGTCATGGTGAGAGTCAGTGGTCGTGACGAGGCTGGGTGCCACTGCTGTCACTTTCATGGACGTCAGGCTGATTTCTCTTAAGTGACCGTGACTGTCATTCCCAAGAAACTGATGCATTTTCACCTTGTTTGAATGTCGTATATTTTTTGTTTTGTTTTTTGGAAGCTGGATTTCAGTCCATCTTATTGGTAATTACCATTAAATTGCAATGAGTAATTGCACTCTTATGTACACTTGTGGCTTGGCAAATTATAGTGCACTCATAAGTGTTAACCACTGTTTCAGACTTTTAAAGATATAAACCATCAAGTCTGAGGAATGCTGGAAGATAAGGATGTTTTACTCATCCACTGTGTGTAGTGGAAGTCTATCTAGGCTCGGCAAGGCCATGTTGTTATTAGCGTGTTATTGACTTTTCAACTCCCTGCAGCGATCACCTGACAAGCCCTTCCCAATCATCCTTATGGTCCGTTGAGCACTTAAAGAGGCAGAAAATGCATACGCACCGTCCCCTGCTCCAATCTTCCATTCCTATGACCCTTTTCATCCCGTTCATTTTTATCACCTCCTGCTCACCTCATTCATAAAACCACAGGTTGTGGAAGTGCTTTGCCAAGCAAACTCATTTGTAAAAATGGCTTCCGTATAGTGTGGAATCCGTATGATGCCTTTTGCTTTTTTTAAGCCTTATCCTACTTTTCTTGGTGTCTAGACAGTGGAAAGCAAGAATAGGATGCAGACACTTTCTTCCATTAAGGAACAGGCAGATGTTGTCTGTCAAGATCAAGATATGCAAGAGATGGCATGATGGGTTTCATGTCACGCCTCTACAGCAGTTCAAGAATACAAATGAATCTTTACTGGTGCGAAAAGCCTAGACTAGCACTGGCTCAGTGTTAATTACCACGCAAGCGTGTGCCCGTCTCTGTGTTTGTTTGTGCCCTTGCCATTTTTCTTCATATGTGGCCTTTTACGCCTACAACTAATCACGACCGTGGCGCCTCTCCAGGTGTGCGTTTGATGTTCGTTAACAGGGAGAGCTCAAGGTAAAGTAATGGCGCTTTTCCACTGCTTGGTACGACTCTGCTCGGTACGGCTCAGTACGGCACGGCACGGTTCGGCTCGGCACGGTTTGCGTTTCCACTGCAGTTCAGTACCGCTTTAGAGTGGGCGGGATTATTCACATGTCGTTATAGTTGCGCCGCCTCTACTACCACGACTCCTAAAAAAAACTTTTTCATTCCGCGTCGCCCCATCAAGCTCTCGCTGGATCCGCTCCACTTCTATCAACGAGAGGAACGTCTGTTCTTCTCAGACAACAAAACTTTTTGGTTGTTAAAAAAAGGTGCGCTCATTCAAAACAGTTGCGTTCGATCCT